AAATAAAACAAATACAAACAAGTATAAACAAACATAAACAAATACAAACAAATATAAACATATAGAACAAATATAAGCAAATATAAGCAGATATAAGCAAATAGAAACCCATACGAATATAAACGAGGCGAAACATCTCAATCTTAAAAAAAGGAAGAAGATTAACACCACAAATAAAACAAATTCACACAAATACGAACAAATACAAACTACAGACAGAGAGAAACATGTTAGAGACAAAGGATGTGGAGACCATTGAAAATATAACAAACACAAATACAATAAAACTAACAAATACAAACAAACAAAACCAATACAAACAATAAAAACAAAAGGAAACATACACAAACTAATGCAAACAAATAAAAATAAACACACATAAATGCACACAAATTCAAAGCAGATGCGCCACAAAGGGCAGAGAAATACAGTACGAAGAAAGAGAGAGAGAGAAACAAACCAATATATCATGTGCGCAAACAGAGGCAATCAACGACCAACAAGTACAAACGAGTATAAACAAATACAAATAGATACACACATATACGAACAAATACAACCAAATACAAACAAACAAATGAAAACAAGCATATACACCAGTACAGGCAAATACAACACAAAGACAACCCAAAACAAACAAATACAAACAAATGAGCTCTTGAAGCAGCCCCATACTGCATGCATTAAGAGGCAAGAAAGCCATAAATTTATTTAAGCCGATATCGCAAGACTGACCGAGACACAAATAAACAACGAACATTGAAAGTGTGTCTATCTACAGAGTATATAACACAAACACCGAAAGACAAACTGACAACAGCAACTATAACTATCTGAATGAACCTATTCATGCAGCAGCAGCTTCAACAGCCGCAGCAGCAGTAGTAAAAACAACAAAAAAATAGCAACTACAAGAAGAGCCGGCGAGGCCTGTGAAACTACTGAGAACGCATGCGGCGAGGGGAAGACAAGACAAAAGGGGGATCGGGATCGGGTTCGGGATCGGGATCGGGATCGTGTACCTGAAGAAGCGATCCCAGGCAAGGCGGACGCTGCCTCTGCCGGGGCCTCCCATCTTCCGCCTTGAGAGGGGTCTCGGTTTTTCTTCGTTGTGCTGCTGAGGCTGCTGCGGGGCTGAGGGGCCCCCAACGGGCTGGTCCTTGGGGGCCCCCCTTTCCTTGGGGGGGTGGCTGGGCTTGATGGGCTCCATAGGTAACTGCACGCAGGGAGAAGAGAGGCTAGCTGGCTAGCTTGTTGTATGGCTAGCTGAATAGCTAGCTAGCTGGGTAGCTAGCTAGCGGGTTAGCTAGCTCGAGGCGGCGGAGACGGGGCCCGGAAGAGGCAAGCAGCTGTACGAGCCATCAACCACCTTAAAGAATAAGAAAACAATGAAGTAAATCCCCTTCGGGGCTTTGATGCATGCGCGGTAGAGACAGCAGCACGCTGGCCCCTCAGCAGAAGGTATATATCGGGTCTAAGGAAGTAACTTCGGGCAGTTTTTGGGGTGTCTGTACAGCTGAAGTGACCAAAAAGAAAAAGCAAACGCAAAGAAAAAGCGAGGAGCTGTCTAAATAGAGTGTTCTGAATGAAAGGGGTAGAGACCACTCGATGCGACCAGCACTTGTCTGTCTTTTGTCTACTTCTGTTGTTGTATCTGGAGTCTAAGGGGGAGGGGGCCTTTTCTAGAGGCAGAAAATGCATTCAAATTGCCGTTAATGCGTTTTGAAGAAGCAGAAAATAAGAAAAGAAACAAATATAGAGCTTATTGAACACCGATGTCCCTCCTCCCCCACGAGTGTCTGTTGTAAGGCCCCCCCGCCTCGAGCAGGCAAAGGGAGGAAGCCAAAGAGCTCTATTTGTTGTTCAAAGACTGAGTTAATTAAATATTCACAGAGACTGAAAGATAATACAACTTTTAACCCAGAAAAACAGGGGGTTTGCGGCCTAAGTGCAAGCAGATGCGAGGAGGGCGTCAGCAGGAGCGGCTCATTAGGGGAGAGCACCAGCAGCCGTGGGGCTCTCCTTCTACGGGGCGCCTTTTGAATTCTCTCTTCTTTCCTCGTCTTCCTTCTCCTCTTATTACTGTTTAAATGAAAAGACTGTGAAATTTCGGTTCTTTTAAGGCCTCTTACACCCCTTAGAACACAATATAACAATAAACAGCACATCTCCCCCAGCTGTATGTACACCCGGCGGTCAACCACCAGACCTGTAAACCAACACACCCTCAGAATGCTTCAAATGTATATTTTTTCCTTTTATATAGTTTATTATGCAATTTAATACATCAGACACTACTTAAAAGCTGCGAGGCGGCCCTGGCTCTCCCCCAACCACCCCCTACGCTTTACAATAGTAAGGTCTAAGGGGTCCTTGGGGGAGAGCCAGCAGTGCTGTGCTGCAGGCTGTGGTATTGTTTCCTCTTAACTTCCTGGTGTACGTACACCTCAAAAAAGGGGATAAAAGCAGTAAAGGTTTTACTAACAGCATTCAGTAGCCCGAAACAATAGACATTCAGCAGTACAAACAATGAAAACGAACACGCCTCAAACCAATTCGAGATTCACCCGCAGCTTCTCCTGTGCTCCTGAAGCAAACAAAACTCCAAAAGAACAAAAATGAAAAACAAATGAATTATGGCACTACTTTGACTGACGCGAGACGAGGTGTCTCCCCACTTGCCCATGAAATGCATAGAATAAATGTCTTCACCTACAGGCCCGCTCTTTGTGCTTGTATAAGTGTAATACTTTTATTCTTAAAAAGATTTTCTGCTGTCAGTATATTCTCTTGCCTTGAAAGGGCGCATGCATGCATATTGCTGTAAAAACCTACTCTGAGGTGTACGTACACCCCAGCGCTTGAACAATGAAGATACACTCCGATAGTGGCAGCAACGGAGAGTGCAGTATACATATATATATTTTGTTGGTTTTGTCTGCCATGCATTTAAACTGGAGTGTCTCTCTTTGGGGGCGTGTATTGTCTCTTTAAGCTGCAACTGCTTGTCTCTTTGTGCGTCTCCATAATCTCTATTTGCATTGTCTATCTCTGTCTCTCGCCTCTGTAAAGTATTTGCTTGTCCTTCGGTGTGCCTCTACTTTGCTCTGCCTGTTTATACTTCTTTTCTCTCCTTTGTCTCTCTAAGGAACAAAGGTTTGTTTCTTTGCATGCGTCTGTCTTGTCTCTTTCTTAAGCTGCATTTGTCTCTTTTTGTGTATCTACTTCCTCCTATCTCCTTCAGATGCAAAGGTTTGTTGTGTTTATTTGTGGGGTTCTGCTGTCTATACACCCGAATACGGGGGCCTATACTCTGTCTCCTCCTGCATATTCGGTGTCTCCTCATTAACACAGTTGGGCTCTCAATAAGCCCAAGAGCATTAACTAGTGCTGCTGCACCAGCAGACAGTACATGCAGCAGCCGCCAGAGGAGAAAACAAGTGCAGCAGCAGCAAGAGGAGACCATAAGTGCTGCAGCAGCAAGTGGAGGCAGTACTGCAGCAGCAGCAAGAGGAGACCATAAGTGCTGCAGCAGCAAGAGGAGACCATAAGTGCTGCAGCAGCAAGAGGAGACAACAAGTGCTGCTGCAGCGAGAGGAAACAGCAAGTGGGCGGCAAGACAAAGAGACAGCAAATGCTGCAAGGAAAAAGAAAGGAGACAATAAACGGTGCATGAGACGAAGACGTAGCTTGTTTCGTCTGCCTCTGCCTAGTAGAGACAAGCCCCGTGGAGAGAAGCAGAAAGAACTATATTTCTTATTGTTATATACTGACTGCATGCAGCGTGAACAGCAGCGAGGAGTTAAGGGACAACAGCATCTGTACGCTGCAGCTGCTGCGCAGCAGCAGCTGCAGCAGGCCCAACTGCAGCAGCAGCCGCCAAAGCAGCAGCAGTTGCAGCCTCAGCAAATGAAGCAGCAGCAACACATCTGCAGCAGCAACGTCTGTGGCACAACCCTAAACCCTAAAACCCTAAACCCTAAGCCCTAAACCCTAACCACTAACTGTTCCCTTGAAGAGCCCCCTTTCGTATACCTTTCTGTTTAGTGGTGCTGACGAGTTGCTGCCCTAGGGCCCCCAAATGCCTTTATAAAGCCCCAACAAAGGGCCTTATAATCCCATAGGGGCCCATAGGGCCCCCCTGTTCTTTTGGGGGGCCCCTGCAAGGGGCCCCCAATTACCCTTTAGGGGCCCCCAGGGCCCTAATAAACCCTTTTCAGCGTACTACGCCGCTTACGGGCCCTCACCAAATGGCCCCTATAAACCTTTGCGGGGCCTCCAGAAGGGGCCTCCATATCCTTTTGGGGGGCCCCCAGAAAGGGGTCCAAACCCATATCCCTTTTGGGGCCCCCCGGAAGGGGCCCCCAAGCTCTTTCGGATGGCCCCCGGAAAGGGCCCCCATGCCCTTTCGGGGGGCCCCCGGAAGGGGCCCCCATATCCTTTTGGGGGCCCCCCATAAGGAGCCCCATATCTGGGGGCCCCCAGAAGGAGACCCCATATCGTTTTGGGGGCCCCCCAGAAGGGGCCTCCATTTTCTTGTGGGGGCCCCCGGAAGGGGCCCCCCTGACGTCTTGGGGGCCCCCGGAAAGGCGTGGGTTTCGCTTTATGCGGGTTTAAAGAAGACGCGGATATCGTGTAGAGGTCGGCCATTCAGCAACTTGGAGGGCCCTTGGGAAACAGGCCGCTGCAGGCACAGCAGCAGCAGCAGCAGCAACAACAGCAGCAGCAGCGACAGCAGGGGGGGGTGGGAGGTGAGAGGGACAGCGCGCCAGAGACAGACGGGTGTAGGCAGAAAGAAGACAGAAGAAAAGGGCCCAGCAATCGTTTGAGGGGGTTCAGCCAAGGGTGCAGTTAAGGGTTTAGGGTTTAGAGAGATGAATAGCAGCAAACCAAGAGAGTGCGTCTATCAGCAGAGACAGAGGAGACATGCTGCAGCTGCCTCCCCTTAACTTAGGGTTTAGGGAGGCCTTACTGCCCGCGAAGCTGCAGAGACACCGCAAGCCAAAACGCTAGGAGGAGACCCTGCTGCAGCAAGAGAAAAAGGGTTTGCTGCTGGGGCCTTCAGCGCTATCCGTAGCTGCCGCAAAGGCGTTGAGGGCCCCCCCCCTCCTGCTGTACCCGAGGGGCCTCTCACGGCGGTGTGGGGCGGCGAAGAAGCCTGCTCAACGGCCCTGCTGCTGCTGCTGCTGCTGCTGCTGATTTTAGTGCTGCTGCTGCTGCTGCTGCTGCTGCTGATTTTGGTGCTGCTGCTGCTGTTGCTGATTTTGGTGGTGGTGGTGCTGCTGCTACTGCTGCTGCTGCTGCTTGCTGTGTCAGGGAGGGGGGCGGGGGAGTAGAGAGAAGGTGATGGGCGCAGCAGCAAATTCAGCGCCGCCTGGGAGTCCTCCTTTTGCTGCTTTTCTTCAGGAAGCTCAAAGGACTCAGCCAAATACATGTCGTATCCAACCCTCCTGCTGCTGCTCGGATAGCCGCTGTTGCTGCGGCTGCCGCCGTGGTTGTGGCGAGCTGGGTTGCTGCTGGGCGGATTGCTGCTGCTGCTGCTGATGCAACAGCTGCTGCTGCTGGGTTGGGTACTGCTTCGTGTGCTGCTGCTGCCGCTGTTGTTGCTGTTGCTGCTGCTGCTGCTGCTGTGCGGATAAAGAAGCGCTCCGGTGGCCCGCTGAACGGTCCGCCTCAATGGCGTCGTTGCTGTTGCTGGAGCTGCTGTTGCTGCTGTTGCTGCTGCAGTTGTAGCTACTGCTATTGTTGCTGCTGCTGCTGCTGCGGGGTTGGGTAATGCCCGTGCAGTTACTGTCGGTGAGGTTACAGCTGCTGCTGCTGCTGCTGTTGCTGCTGCTGCTGCTGGTGCTGCTGCTGCAGGACGGCGGAGAACTGGAGTCATCTCACAGCGCAGCGCGCGAGGGTCGGAGAACTCCTGTGATTCGCTGCTGCTAATGCTAAATGCTTCGGGAGCAGCAGCAGCAGCAGCAGCAGTATGCTGCTGCTGCTGCTGCTGCTGCAGATCCTGCTGCTGATGCTGCAGATCCTGCTGCTGCTGCTGCTGCTGCCGCCGTAGGCGGGACTTCAAGACATCCGTCGGCGTGGCTGCTGGGGCTGCGACTTCGCGCCCTGGCTGTTGTTGTGCAGCAGCCGCAGCAGTAGCAGAAGAAGCAGTAGCAGAAGCAGCAGCAGTGGCTGCTGCTGCAGGAGCAGCAGGCAAAACCAAAGGGCCCCTCTTAGGGGGCCCCCTGGTTTTGTTTGGTGGCCCGCCTATGACTCCGAGACTGTTGGGGCGCAGCATAGTGCGTTGCTGCAGCAGGGGCTGCTGCTGTTGCTGTTGCTGCTGCTGCTGCTGCAACAAGCCTCTCAGTGCCCGCATGGACTCGGCATTGCGGAGACTCTCGAATTCATCCTCCTCCTCTGAGTCCAGACATATTGGAGCATCTGCTGCTGCTACTGCTGCTGCACCTGTTGCTGTTGTTGCTGCTGCTGTTGCTGCTGCTGCGGAAGCCCCGGATGAGGAGGCTTCGGAAGGAGGCCTGCGCTTCTTCCGGAGGCCTGCAGCTGCTGCTGTTGCTGTTGCTGCTGCTCCTGCTGCTGGGTTGGCGGGAGTAGCAGCAGCTGCTGCTGCTGCCCTTGCCGCGTCGGGGCTAGTTGCTTCTGGTCGGCTGCTGCAAAGAGACAAAGACAAGAGCAGCAGCAGCAGGTTTAGCAGCAACAGCAAGCAGCATGATGTCGCCTAGGGTTTAGGGTTTGGCGTTCAGGCGCAGCAAAAGCAATACCCACCCGCAGCAGCACTGCAGCGACTCCAGCATCTTCTGCATCCTGCACCAACCACCAGCAGCATCAGCAGCAGCAGCGCGAACTCAGCAGCACTTTTTAGAGCCCAGCTAAGAGCCCCTAAAACCCCTGGGGGCCCTCTGTACACCCTGTTGGCTGACAGGAAAGCGAAATCGAGGGTTTAGGGTTTAGGGTTTACGAACAGCGGTTTGGGGCTTAGGGTTTACGAATAACGGCTTAGGGATTCGCGTTTGCGAATAACCGTTTAGGGTTTAGGGTTTAGGGTTTAGGGTTTAGGGTATTCTGTACTCGTGCAGTCTTTTCCTTGCTGCCCATTCTTGTTTGACTTTCTCTCTTTTCAGTCTTTCTTTGTCTCTGCAGCAATTCCATTTACAGCCTAATGATGTACATGAGTCAAAGCAGCAGCAAACAGCAGCAGCGAACAGCAGCAGCACCAGAACCAGCAGCAGCAACAGCAGCGAACAGCAGCAGGTGCTGCAGCAGCGAACAGCAGCAGCAGCAAACAGCATCAGCCGCAGCAAACAGCAGCAGCAGCGAATAGCAGCAGCAGCAACAGCACCTTACCGCTGCAGCACTGTCATGGCTCTATGAAGCGTCAGTACAGCATCCTCGAGGCGCCCCAACTGAGCAGCAGCAACAGCAACAGCAGCAAAAGCAGCAGCAGCAACACCACCCGCATACATCGAAGAACTGCGGGACGACAGCAGCGCAAGCAATACAGGAACTGCAGCAGCAGCAGCAGCAGCAGCAGCAGCAGCAACGGCAGCAACAACAACAGCAACAGCAGCATTTCGTACCGATGCAAATTCATTAACGAGCGACTTGGCGCGGTCCTCAGGCGGTGCGTCTCCAATCAGTCTGCAGCAGCAGCGGCAACAACAACAACAGCAACAATTGTAACAGCAGCAGAAGCATTAACAGCGGCAGCAGGAAGAGCAGCAGCAGCAACAACAGTAACACGGAAAGTGCAGGAGAGGTAGCACTGAGTCTATACCACCGTCAAAGAGTCTCGTGGACTAAGGCAGCAGCAGCAGCAGCAGCAGCAAATAGGGCAGCAGCTGCAGCAGCAGGAAAGGAGACAGGAGCTCCAGCAGCACCGAATGGGAGACTATCAGCAGCAGCAAAAGCAGCAGCATCAGCTGAACAGCAATCTCGGCAGAGAGGCGAGGAGTCCAAAACAGCAGCAGCAGCAGCAACAGCAGCAGCAGCAGCAACAGCAGCAGCAGCAGCAAGTACCCATGCAGTGTCTTTTCCAGTGAAGTCTGCTGCTGCCGAGACAGCTCGAGCTGCGCCTGCGCTTTTCTTGTCCTTGCCTGCGCAACGACCAGCTGCCGCATCGTTTGCTGAAGCTCCTTCTCTGCTACTGCTGCTGCTGCTGCTGCTGCTGCCTTCTCTTTTGCTGCTTCTGCTGCCCAGCGCTTCTCCACCGCAGCAACTTCTTCCGCGTGCGCCCGCGCAGCTGCTTCCAATTCCTCTAGCCGAGTCTGCAGCAGCAGCAGCAGCAGCAGCAACCAGCAGGGTAAACATGCAATCACATAGAAGCAGCACCAGGCAGACAGAAAGGTAAGCATGCAATCAAGATAGCAGCAGCAGCAGCAGCAGAAGCAGGGGCCTTACTTGTATGGTATTCTTTTCCCTGCGCATGGCCATGAGCTCTCCCTGTAACACCGCATTTCATGCAAGACAATAGCTGAACCCTAAACCCTAAACCATAAACAATAAACCCTCGTTCTGATTCAATGGTTTAGGGTTTAGGGTTTAGGGGGCTTACCCTCAATCGATCGACGAGGGGCTCGGGCTCGTCGTCGGCCGAGGGTTCTGCAAACCCCAGAAGAAAGACAAACCCTAAATCCTAGGCAGAAGGTTTCCCCCCTATCCCAAAACCCTAAACCCTAAACCCTAAACCCTACATATAAACCCTAATACCAGCGTTGGGGGTCCTTGCCTGCTTTGGCGGTACTCCAAAGAAATCGCAGTTTAAGGCGAGCGCCGCACGGAGTCCTGCAGATGGGGCAGCCCGCTCTACTCCCATGGCCGCTGCTAGCTAGCCATTGTTCTACGCTGTACATACACCCCAGCAGCAGCAGCAGCAGCAACAGCAGCAACAGCAGCAGCACAAGCAGCACAAAATGATCCATTCTGCTACCGCCTCCCTCTCCCCCTAGACCCAAGCAAGTCTAACAGCAGCAGTAGTAAATCGCAGAAGCAGAAGGTGCAAGGCGGCTGGACCGCTCCCACTGCTGCTGCTGCTGCTGCTGCTGCTGCTGCTGCTGCTGCAGCTGTGGCCCCCTTTATAGGGGGATCCCTTCGCACTGGGGGCCCTGGACCTTGGGCTCACCACCTCAGGTGAAATACATGTCCGCAGGATACAGCAGCCAAGTCAGACGTAGCCGCTTCGAAGCAGATCGAACAATCAGGCGGCTGGACCGCTCCCATTGCTGCTGCTGCTGCTGTGACTGCTGCTGCTGCTGCTGTGGCTGCGGCTGCTGCTGCCGTCGTTGCAGGTCACGCGGCAGCCGCTTACTGATGAGGCATTCAAACGACTCAACAACTCGCGAGGCCCGCCGCTGCTGCTGAAGGTGCTGCATTGCATGCGGCACTCAGCAGCAGCAGCAGCAGCAGCAGCAGCAGCAGCAGGAACACCGAGCGGCTCCCAGCTTCCCAGTTGCCTTTGGAGTTCATAAAAAGATGTTTAAGTTTAATATATATCGAAGAGGAGGCATCTCAGCGCGAAGATATTCCGTTATTCCTCGCGTGGGGGCCCTGTGCTGCTGCTTCGGTGGTGGTCAGTAGACTGAGGTGTTCGTACACCTGAGACTGCTGCGTCAAAATATGCGGTAAAGAATGACAAAACTAAACCAAAAAATGCCAATCAAACGCTCGTTTTCATTCAAATATTCTTTTGAGGTGGATAAAGCCATCAGACACTGCAGCAGCTGGGGGGTTGGGGCCCCCCGTTTGCTGCGTCTTCTCCTCTGCTGCACACAAAGGTTCTATTTGCTGCAGCTATTAGCAACCACTCTAGGGAAAATAGTTAAATATATTTCTTCTTTTTATTTTAATTACTCTTTCCAATTTAATTGAGTAACCTGGGAAGCAAATAAAGCCGCAGAACAGAGATACCCGTGGGGGGCCCCCAGGGGCCCCCCGCCGCTGCGCAAGGCCTTTCGTCAGCGGGGGCCCGTGCTGCTGGGGGCCCCCTGTCTTTTTAGTTTTGTCTTTGTGCATTTAATTTCCTTTATTTATTAACTTATGAAAATGGTTTTATAATTTCTTCTTTTATTACTAAAATGGTTTTATAATTTCTTCTTTTATTACTCCTTTTACCCAACTCTGCGCTGCTCTCCTTGCACGCAGCTGCTGCTGCAAATCGAAGGGCAGTATCCCTCAGCAGCAGCACAGCCTGCTATCTTCCTAACAGTAGCAGCAGCAGCAACAGCAACAGAAGCAGCAGCAACAACAGCGGCAGCAGCAGCAAGAGCAGCTGCAGCAGCAGCACCTCCAACAGCAGCGGCCGTAGTAACAGCAGTACCCGCAACAGCAGCGGCAGTAGCAGCAGCACCGGCACGTGCATTAGCAGAGGCAGGAACAGCAGCAGCAGTATTACTAGAGGCAGCAGCAGCAGCAGTGGGAATCAGTGGGCTGCGTCTGTACCCAGGGAGTGCATGCAGCAGACAGAGAGAGCTTCTGTTTCTTGCAGCGTTTGCCTTTTGCTGCGGTGTCTCCAAAGGTCCTGCTAGCCTCTTGCTGCAGTAGCAAATGTAAACTCTCAGGGGCCCCGGGCCCTCAGCAGCAGGAGGATACCCTTAGCAGCAGCAGCAGCAGCAGCAGCAGCAAACCTCCCCGCCACCCACTTGCTGCTGCAGTAGCAACCTTTCTGCTGCAGAAGCAACCTTGCTGCTGGTGCTGCCGAAGGCTTTGCTGCTCCAGCAGCAGAGATCTTAGCTGCTGCTGCTGCCGAAGGCTTTGCTGCTCCAGCAGCAGAGATCTTAGCTGCTGCTGCTGCAGCAGCTCATGCTGCTGCTGCAGCAGTCGGGGCAGCAGCAGCCGAGAATGCAAGTGTTGCCTCCTTCTGCTGTTATGGAGTTACGGCGCTCTTCTAGGTTTCTGCTGCTGCTACTGTTGTGTATGGGTTGCTGCTGCTGCTGTCCTTGCGAGGCATTTGCTTCTCGGTTGCAGCAGCAGCAGCAGCCACATTGGAGAGGCTGGAGCGCTCCTGCCGCAGCGCCACTGGGGTGGGCTCCTACCCCAGCAGCAGCAGCAAAGGCAGCAGCAGCAGCAAAGAGTTCCCCTCGAAGGCATCGCCGTCTCTTCCTCGCGTCACCAGCATCAGCAGCAACAGCAGCAGCAGCAACAGCAGCAGCAACAACAACAGATGCTGCTGCAGTGGATTTGTCTGCTGCAGCATCAACCCAACCAGAAGAGGTCTCAAGCACCGTGCAGCTGCCTTCAGCCTTAGACACCGATGCAGCAGCAGCAGCTGTTGCTGCTGAAGATGCAGCAGCGGCAGCAGCAGCAGCAGCAGCAGCAAAGGCAGCAGAGGACGCGAGGACCCCCTTTGTGTTGGATTCATCTGTCTTCAGGGGCGCCAGCGCCTTTGCAGCAAAACCTCTCGGCGACCAAACTATTATGCGCGCCTATGATAGGTTTGCTGCTGCTGCTGCTGCTGCTGCTGCTCGTGCTGCTGCTGTTGCTGCTGTTTCTGCTGCTGCCGCAGCTGTTGCTGCTGCGGCTGTTGCTGCTGTTTTGCTGCTGCTGTTTCTTTAGATGCTGCGTCTGCTCTGTTTTTACTTCCTCCACTGCTGCTGCTCCAGCTGCCGCCGCTGATGCTGCAGCTGCTGCTACTGCTGCTTATGCTGCTTCTGCTGCTGCGGCGTTTGGTGCAGGTCTTTAGCTCTTTCCTTTAAGGAGCCTTCTCTGGGTGAATCCCCACTGGAGACGCCCCCTTCCGATCCCGTAGACTTCCTTATGGCCAGTAGCAGCAGCAGCAGCAGCAGCAGCAGCAGCAGCAGCAGCAGCAGCAGCAGCAGCAGCAGCA